ATATAGGAAATAGTTGAAAAAATGCTATAATTGCAAAGAAGCTACTCATAAGTAGGTTATAAAGTCACTATCAGAATATGAATAATAGGTTATGAAGTTATCATCAGATCATGTAATTAGATTATAAAGTTACTATATTATGAATTACCAATAGACTATGAAGTTACCAACAGAAGACTATGAAGTTACCGATATATTATAAAATCATCAGTAGACTATGAAATCACTATTATATTATAAAGTTACTGGTAGACTATAAAGTTACCTTCATAACCTAGACCAAGTCACATATGACTTCATAATATAATTATATTATGAAGTCACATGCAACTGTATATAATAGACAATTTATTTGAAAAGATCTTCTTAAAACTACCAAACTGTTTAATTTTTAAAACTTACAAAAATGTTTTTAAGAAGTAAGCAAATATTTTATATAAGATAAAAATTCAAAAATGTTAGTAATTTTATATAGTTAGCTTATATGCAAAGTCAAAAAAATGTGAAAAAGTATATAAAATTTTATCAATTAAATGATTAATATCTATATAATCAACATGTAACATGTTTAGCATATAATATTAATTAATTAAGCTGATGTTATTAGTAAAATTTTCTTTATATAATTATCATATTATATTAAGAAAATAAAAACTATTGTTAAGTCTAAAATAATCTTAACTAAAAAAATTCATACTGATATTTACTTTATCTAGGATTTTGTGCAATTATAAAATCTAATCAATATCAACTTAATTATTGAATAGGTGAATATTAAGATATTTTTTGTTATATATAATCCTACATTATATTTTAGATTAATAATTAAAATATTATATATGTTTTATATTTTAAATATTTTAAGTTAATAGATAATAAAAAAATATCAAAATTTACACAAAGTGCTTATATTTCAGATATAGCTTATTATCCTATATCTGAGGAATATAAATTCTTAAACTTTATTTCTTTGAATTTAATTAATTTGTTTAGTTCAAAATTTTGTTTCACAATCAATAGTTTAAGTCCATCAAATACTGTAACTTTAAATAATAGAGTTTTAATTTTAAACTTTAAATAATAGATGTGACTTTAACTTAATCAAACAAATTTTTTTTAAAAGAAATAAGTGAAACATTTATAATTTTTTTTTAACATGTAGTAGCTTTACACAGTGTTGTCATAGGACATTGATGGGACACTGATGGGACGCTGATGGGACATAGATGGGACAGATAGGACCTTTGGGACATAGTGTGGGACAGGTTAGGACATATAGCTAGGACATATAGCTGGGACAACAAATCTCTGGGACATCAAAAATGTACATCACTGGCTTTACACATCAAGAGAAATATTTATAATAAAATTTAAACTTCAAATAATAAATGTACATTTGCTTAGTTGAGCAAAAAATTTTTTATTTATAAAAATAACTACTCTTTATGTATATATGCATCAAAATTGGACACTTATAATTTTTCTAGCATTCTTAAATGATATATTATTCTTATCCTAAGAAATTAAACATGATATAGTCTTAGAAATCAAAATTTCCTGCTAAAATCTACTAAATTTTTTAGAGAAATTAAATTATATGTTAATAAATTATTTAATAAAAAAAGTTTTAAAAGTATTTTGTTAATTATAATTAATCCTCTTGAGCTATATATTTAGACTAAAATAAGCTATGAAGGAAGATTCTATAAATTTAAAAAGAAAATTAAAACTTACTTTTAATACTTTAAAATAGTCCATTAAAATCATATATATTTTTATTTTTCTTGATCCAATTTTTTAATATATTTCTTTATAAATATTCTAATAATAAATGTTTTAAAAAAAGAATTAAAAGTCAAATTGAAGCTGTTAAATCTTCTAAAAGACCTGCATTAATACTATATTAACAAAATATATTACAAGAAGATAAATGTTAAAAGAAAAAGAAAAAGAAAACTATTTTCAAAATTTAATTAAATATTTTTTTTAATTTTTAATTTAATTTTTTTTTTAATTATTTTATAGTAAATAATAATTATAAAAGAAAAATTTAAATATTATTATAATTTTTAAAATTAACTAGAAAAAAAAAATAGTTTGAATACATCTATTACATTATTTTTTCAGATTCATTTTTTTATTTTGTTATTGCTTATTAATAATTTTTTAAAAATAAAGTTATAGTAAATTTTAATTATTCAAGTAGTGAATATTTCTATTATATAAAATTCTTACTTTATCCTTTTTTATTAAAAATTTGTGATTTATTAAATAAAATCAAAAATCAAAATGGTAATATTGAATTTAAAAAAAAATCAAAAAGTATTATATATTTATTAATTTATTTTTATATTATGTAAATCTATTAAAGAAAATTGTTATTTATTTTGTAAAATCCATTATGTATAAATAACAATTGTATCTAAAGGAATCCAAAAGGATTATTCTATAGAAATCAATTTTAAAACACTAGAAACTTGAATAATTTAAATAAAAAATGAATTTCTTGATATCATTTATAAAAAGAGTGATATGTTCTTATTAAATTAAATAAATAGATTAATTATTAATTTATTAATAAATTAAAATTTAATAAATATAATAATAATATGTAAATAAAAATTACTTTTTTGTTTTATTATTAGTGGATTTTTAGTTTTTGATTTTTTTTTAAAGTATACAAAGAAATTTTCATTTATTAATTTATCAAACAAAAAATAAGAATTTTTTATCACTTTAAGTTTAGTTTTTACTAGCTGTTAAATTTTATACTAAACTGATTTAATAAATATTTATAATTTTCATCTTTTATAATATTATTGACAATTTTATTTTTTGATTTACTTCAATATCATTATAAAATTATTTATACTTTTAAATAATTTATTATTATTTGAACTCTTTTACTATCTTAAATAAAAAATAAATATTGAAAAATTTGATCTAAATTTAATTAAGTTGTTATTTTAAGATATGCTAGTATATAATACTAGAAAATTTATATAATAATATAAATACGAAAAAAGTTGATTTTATAAGTATATTTGATGATTCTTTTCTTTTTTTACAATAAAAGTATTCTACACAAAATGAAAGTTCTATTCTATTATTATAATTACTAAAAAACATTAAAATAGAAGTTAATTTTTATTAAAAAAATTAAAATTTAAAGTATTTTCTTTACCTTATAATTTTTTTATTTTATATGACATATATTATAGTAATTGTGTTTTCCTTTTCTTTTAAATAAAGTTGTTTTCTAAAAAATTCTTTTTAAATCTATTTTCTTTGCAATTACTTCTACATAATAAGAATTATCAAAATTTGTAAGAGTATGATCAATATATATTAAAATTCTAGCAGAATAAAAGTTTTTTTATTTGAATTTAAAATAATATTTTTATTAATATCAACATCAATATTAAAATTAAGTTTTTATCTTTATCAAACATGATGATTAATATTATCTTTATCCTAATTTCTTGAAAATTTAATTACTGCATCACATATACAAATAACTTTTTTTGCACATAAGACTTTAGCAAAATATGAATGCTTTAAACATTCTTTTGAATACTTTTAACCTGTTATAATTAAATGTTTTTAAAGTGTAGATTTAATATTGTTTTAAAAGAGTTTTTTTTTAATAAAAATGTGTAAATTAATTGTGTTAAAAAATAAGCATTAAATGGATTAAATATCATGGAATTAAGCAATTGATATAACTTCTATCCGTATAATATGTAAAATTTCCTTTATTGTAATAATACAAGTTTTTTGAATTATCTTTTATGAATACAACCTGCTGAATATAGGGGTGGGAAATAATGAATTCAACGTATAACTGGAATGGATATGATGTAAATTTATTTAAATACATATTGTAAATAGTTTCGGAAAGATAATAGATAATTAAATAAAACAAAATACAAGATGTCCGGGCTTTACAACGATTTCCGTTCCTAGTTACACTTATTGCGTATCATTCTTTTATTTTAGAGTTTCCGGCATTTTTAAAAGATCATTTTTACAAAAAAAATATCTATTACAAAATCACGCGTTAGAAAGAATTATGAAATTTCTTTTTCAAAAAAAGCCATTATGTTTATGACAATTGAGGAATCATAAAGAAGGGAAGAGACCCCTAGCATCCAAATGGGTTCCATTATTTCATTCCTGAAGAAGTTAAAATTTACAGGAGAATTCACACCACTTGAATTAGAAAAAAAATATCGCCTTTGAATAATTTCCACCGAATCAAGGCATACGTCCCCCAACTGGGAAACATCTCAAATCCCTTAAACTCGATAAAATTCAAGCTTTTATGGACAACAAAAATATCTCAACACACTAACGAACGCCGCGCTTTAACGCCACACTAGTTTTTCCTTAAAAAGAATTAATTAAAAGTTTTTTTAGAACCGCAATGATGTGGCTTATTTTCAATTGTCAGATATGGAAAAGTTTACAATCACTTCCAAATAATTAATGAAACGAACGAACTTCCGAAGAAATTTCTTTTTAAAATTTTTTGTCGCGTAAATTACGCGTTTCAATCAATTCAGATCAAAACGAGTATTTAAACAGGTTTTTAAATTAATTAAATTCAATATTCTTTTAATGGTGTCATGCGAGCATTGATATTTCTAAAATGATAATTCATTATTTGGATTTAGGTAAATCTTCATTGGAATTTCAGCTTTGTACTCACTTTTAGTGAATTACATGTGAAAAGCAAGATAACAAAAAAAATCTTTTTTCCCTTTGAAAAAATCTTTTCTTAGGTTTTTTTCATTTTTCTGCTCAAATTTTAAATGATTTTTTTTTTTGTTTCTTTTTTGGAATAGTGTGATTTTGTTTTTGTATTAGAATATTTTTATTTAAATTAAAAATTTATTTATATATAAACTGACCATAAAATAATTCTTTTCTTTTACAAGTACATACAAAAACTTCTCAAAAAAAAAAAAAAAAAAAAATTTTTAAAAATAAAAAATACAATGGAACCCTTATCAGGTGAAACAACACTTCCACCGCATCATTATAGGGCATTTTCAAATGAAGAAAATACGAAAACGGAACGACCAAAGCTGCATAAAAGAAGACTATCATCATATGATAGGAATGATTATAAAAGAGAAATGTATCATAAAACTTATCGTCATTCAGAATCTTCCATTAAGCCGGACAATAACGACACTACCACTACCACCGCCATCAACACCTCTACCGCTACTACTATTATCACTTTAGATAATACTGTCGGATTTTCTAGTCAACTTTCTCCTACCGGTGGAGTTGTTTACAATGATAATGGGCATGAAACTAGCGGAAAAGAAATTACTGACGAGTTCTTATCCAAAGATTGGAATACTCCCGTTGCTGCTAGAGGAGATAAAGAAGAATAAAAATCGATTGAACGATAGGTTTTTAATTATAGTTGCAGTTAGTTCGTTCATATAATGGCTTTTTATATAAATTTATATATTATACATATATGTTTTCGCTTTGTATATATTATCTTTCTTTATTTTCTTTAGTTTTTTTTTGGATTTCATATTCTTTCATGAATAGCATTCTTTCAATTTAGCTTTACCCTCCTTAAATACTTACCAGTCCCCAAAAATATATAGGGAACCTCATTTTGTTATAATAAAAGTTCCTTTTTCTGAAAACTTACACAGTTACATTGAGCAATTGTGCTATATTAAAAAAAAATACCTTTATCATAATGAGGTTCACGGTGTATAAAAAAAAATTCTAGAGAAAAAAAAATGAAATGGGAGAACCATTGACAGTTTTTACAAAGAATCCTTATGAATCTGCATGTCATTTGTCCTCGCTTTATGCGTTTACAGGGCTGGTCCATTCAAAAGGAATAACGAAACCACGCAAAAAAGAAATTTCGCTGGGGAATTTTTTCCATGTTTGGTTTCACTAAATGCGGTCGAAAAAATTTCAATTACCAATCAAATTAAAATGCGGATTATCTATTTAGTATCTTGGAAAAATAATCTGTATAAACTAGTTATTTGGGCATTGAAACACGTGCTTTTGGACTTTACGGTGTCAGTAATAATTACGATTTTCGTGTCATTTTATACCACAAAAAGGTGGTCCCGTGATCAAACATGTAAACATAATCACCACTTTATTAGTTACATTATCATTACTAATAGACCCAATCTACAAAAAACAGAAAAAAAAAAAATCTTAACGATCGTAATTAAATAAACAATTCGAAAAAAACTATTTATTTATAAATATATATATTTTTTTTTTAATTTTTTTTTTTTTTTTAACGTCAGAAAATAAGTTTGCATGACAGATTCTTTGTCTCCAGTAGTTGACGGGAGTTTCGATTTCGATGATGCCGAATTGAGCTTCGGCTCTATCGATGCCAATTTCGCGAAAGGCTTGGACACCTTGGAAAAGAATGTTTCGTCATTTTTTCAGGATAAGTCCAAACAGCCTACCTCTTCATTTCAAAATTCTACCCAAGACAATGGAAATAGTACGAGAGAATTGAATCCGGTGGACGAGAATAAATTCACTTTTAATGTATCCCGATTGTTGAACAATGAGGAAGCAACAAATGGAAGGAAAATGTCTGATGCTGGTGATGCGAAATCCGCTAGGAACAGGCGTAATAATCCACGTTGGCCCCCTAATGCACCATCAAGAAACACTCAAATGACATTAAAAGAGCAAGAAAGGGTATTTACCGCTCTAAAATAATAATTTTTATGATTTTCATTTATTCTAAAAAAATCCTTTCTTTTCCCCCTTTTAATTGGAAATTGTGGTTAGGTGATTGACGAAATCAAAAAGGAAAACTTTAGTTTAAAAATGAAAGTTTATTTTTTGGAAGAACGTGTTAGTAAGATGGGTCCCGATGAGATGGAAAGAGCTTTAAAAGAGGTGGGAATTGATTCGGATAACTTTACCCCAAAAAATGATATATATTCATTTTTATTTACCTTTTAATGTTTGTATCAGAATGTGGAAATTAAAATGCAAAATCATGAATTGACTGTTACTTTGAAAGAAAGGAATAAATTGCTATTGGATGCTGAGAAAGCGATACAAATGCTTCATCAATCCGGTACTACATTACAAAATGGAACGTCACCATCAGAAGAAACCGAACTGGAATTACATAGAGCTCGTGATACTATTGATGAATTACGTAAGGAAAGGGACGAGGCTCAACGTAAATTTGTTGAACAAAAGGAAGCAAATAAACGGCTTCGCGAAACTGTAAAGAGAATAAAACCTGATGGTAGTTTTGATTTTGATTCTATGGATTCATTCGATTCAAGGCAGTCAACGCAAAATCCAGAGCTACAGCATTACAAAGAATTATTACAAAAAGAAAGGGAGGAAAAACAAAACATTTCAAATGAAGCAAATGGACTTAGACGCCAATTGCTTGATGTTAAAAATCAAATGCAAGGAACAAATGCCGAATTAACAGAATTGAGGAGATTGCAGGAAGACACTATAAAAAATTTTGAGGGATTACAGAATGGCGATGAGGAAATTGTTGATAATCGTGAAATGATGAAAAGGATTAAAGGTGCTGCAGATAAAGCGAGACAAGAAGAAGCAGAAAAACATAGTGTATTAATACAGCAGTTGAAAGGGGTACGTGAATAATTTTTTTGGCTGAGCGTTCTATTTTTTTTTTTTTTTTTTTTGAAGATGTCTAACGTATTTATTAAAACTTTTATAGCAAATCTCCAATCTTAAAGCACTTAAACATGAGAACGAGACCGAGTTGGAATTAATTAGAAGTCGTCCTATGAGCTCAGCATCTTCGCGTGGAGATATTTCTTCACGTATTATGAATGGAGAGTTTAGCGACCAATATGAAGAGGTGATTAGGTTTTCTTTTTCGTTTTCTTTTTTTCCTTTTTTTTTTTTTTTTTTTGATAGTATGAGACTAGAATTATTATTATTATTGTTATTTTTTTTTTTTATAAAAAAAAAATAAGAGCCTTGGTCTATTACGAGATAAAGTTGCCGAATTAACACTTCAGCTTCGTAACAAGTCCACGGAAGTTGATCACCTTATAGTAGAATTAGAAACTGCTAATGTAGCAAACCAAGACCTTGAGGAGGATATGGACCGAATGGAATCTGAATTGAAAGAATATATAGACAGACTCTTAGAAGTATGTCATATTTCTAGTAACCACATTTCATTTTATGATGCATTGTCTTAATGTTTATTGTAAATAATCTTTACTTATTGATTAAAGGAATTAGATATATGTCATCAAGATAATGAGCAATTAGTAGCAGATCTTAATGCTGTGGATCATGATCGCAAGGAGGATTTGTCTCACACTCAAGAGACAATATCTGATTTAAAACTTCAGTTGGACAATCATAAACGTGAGATAGAAGAATTAACGCAATCCCTTGACAAGGTAAACTTTTATTATTTTGGATATTTATAAGTAATTTTATAACTTACCATTTTTTTTTTATTATTTAGACACGAATGGAGTTGGAACTTAAGACCAAGAACATTGAACATGATGAGAAAGTACATGCAGAATTAATTTCAGATCTGAAAGAGGTATGAAATATGATCATTGTAATTTTATATATTATTTTTGATAATTAATATCTTTTTTAATGTTGATTAGAAACTCAGCATGAATGAAGTTAAAGTAACGGAATTGTTAGCCGTAAAAGATTCGACAGATAAGCAACTAGACCTTCTTCGCCAAGAGGTAGAAAATTATTCTACACAGATTGACGAAATGAAGAAAGACCTGGATTATGAGGTTGAACAGCGTAATGCGGCCGAGTCGCGTGAGAAAGAATTAATGGCTGAAAGAAACAGTGAGAGAGAATTCTATGAAAAAGAGGTAGATAAAGCACGCAAAGATAAAAAGGACAATGAGAAACAAAATGATCAAAGATTAAATGAGTTAATTGAGGTAATTGATTTTTCTCGTAAATTATATTCAAACTTTTTTATTATCGTTTTTAACAAAATGATAATTTTAATCTCATAGAAATTGTCAGCTGCAGAACAACAAATGTCGGATTTAAATATGACAATTCAAGAGCGTGATGCCGACCTCCAATATGCTAATCAACAATTAAGTAATCAGACAAGTAGAACAAAGGAGACAGCAGAACGTTATGCGAGAGAACAAGAAAGATTGAGAGTGGTACCGTATTTACCAAATTAATTACTCATATATTACATTATGTAAACTCACGTGTGATCTTTATTATATATCCTTTTTTAGGAATTGGATACAAGTCGACATGAATCCGAACGTTTGCGCACTCTTCTTGAAAACCTTGGTGATAAACTAGAGAATCAGAAGAACCAAATCATTGAATATGAAAATGAGATGAAACATTTGGTACGTAAGTTTAGTATAATGGTTTATAGTAAACTTTTTTAATTAACCAAAGCGAATTTATTGATTGGTTTGGCATTAGAATAATCAACGAACAAAGTTGAACGAAAAGTTATCATCTAGTGAAAGTGCACGCGCTAAAGCTGAAGAAGTTTTCAGAAATCTACAAATGGTAAATACGAATTGAAATTAAATTCCAGTCATTTTTGTCAAAATTTATAATTCTTATGAGCAAGATTAATCAAATGTTTTATCATAGGACGTTCGAGATCAAAATTCCACAATTGAAGAGTTAAAAGCTCAAGTAGCCCACTTGGAAAATAATCTTACCCAAGAAAAGAAGGTAAAGGAAGAAAACTCGTTAATGTATTACATGGAATGGAATTTATTAGAATTTATTTTTTTTAGGCCACGTATTCGAATGAAACTCAATATCGTGAACAAATTATTGAGCGTAACACGCTTTTAATGACTACTTACCAATATTTGGATAATATAATGTCAGATGGCACAAATAAACAAGTTCGTAATAAATATTTCTAATACCTTCGCGAAAAAAATTTTTTTTTTGCTAATTTCATATCTTGGATTTTCAGTCAAATTATCCAAAACCTTCGGCCAACTTCGCTCTTTTCCACGAGCACCTTTTATCCAAGCTCAAGACTCTTAGTCATGTATATAACACTTTTGATCTACGTACAAAAGAAATTGATAATCGTTGGCAAGAACAATATGAGTTAGTAATAATTAAATTGATCATTTCTTAAATGATTAATAACATTTTGAAGTTTTTTAAAAAATAATTTATTTTATTTTAGGTCTCTCAAGAACCAGATGGATATAAAATTACGTTTGTTAAATAAATTTGAAGGCATGATCCAGAAAGCTACTGTAGCTCAAAAAGATTGGAGAGATCAGGCTAAAAGAAACCAAGGACAACTTGAGGCTGCAAAGGTATTTTACATTTTTTTTATATATTTGAAGTACTTTAATAAATTTTTTTAAAATAACTTTTTTTT